TTCTATCCAATGAAGTGTTTAACTTCCAATAAACTCGGATTAATCAAAGTAGATCTTGAAACATCGCTTGCCATCCATTATTTTGACTGTTCAAAAATATATACATCTTATATTTCTGTTAGAGAAATTAGGGAAGGTATTTAAAAAGTGGAAACCCCAATGGAAAATTAATACTACATATAAAAAACATATCTACAGTATGTTCACAGACCATTATCACAGCTATACAGAAAAATGCTACCATATAAAAATTCAAATAAATCACAGCCAAATATTGTAATTAGCACCACTAAGCATCCTGATTGCTCAGCAATGGTGGGGTGGGGTGGGAAGGAGCTGAAAATGGTGGTTCACCGCAAAACTGAGTACAACCTATTCAAGTTTCATGCAGGCAGTGCTTAAACCAAGGATTAGCAATAACTGGGACACATCAGCAAGGAGTGACACGATGGCAGTGAGATGCCAAAAGAAGAATCACTCTTCCTTGCTTAATGGATCATGCTCTATTAAGTTTTTATTTGAGATTCACCCACACCCCTGTTCCCTTCTTTCTCTGTAGTCTAGTGTTACTCTCTCCTGATTACTAAGTACTGGCAATCACTGCAGCACTGTGTTCCTTGATGCATAATTAGTACTTGTGCCACAAGTTCTCAAATTAGAGCACTCATTCCTCAAAGAGCCATGTATTACAAAACACTTCCAAGAAGCCACTTGATGAGCATAATTCATGTCATTACATGATGCTTGATCCTGTCAGAAGTGCTTTTTTTAAAAAAAGAAATATTAATTATATAAACCATGTGCCTAATTTTGAACAATCTCATGTCATATTAAAATGGTTTTGGTGTCATTAAGGCAAATTATTCTTGCCTAGAAAATTCAATGGTCACTTCCTCTAAATGTTTCCATGTATCTCACTGCTGAGACCACAGAATATGCAAGGCATTTTTTACTCATAACAATCATTAATGTTTCAGAGTGAAAGATAAAGGTTTAATTTACTGTTGGCAATTTGAATATTGTCACTATACTTTAGCCTGCAAAAAATTTCACATCTTCTATCTTTCTACTGGTTTACTTTACAAATCGATGCGGAGTTGGTCATAGAATGTTGAATGACTTGAGCATTTTAGTATTCACAAAATAACTGTGACAACGAAGAAAGAATGAATGAATGACCAATACGATAATCAATTAAAAACTAAGATAGTTAAAAAACTATCCCAGAAATTAAATTTGTTTCTGTGTTTTACCATTTCAGTACCTGACTGTAGTGAGGCATGAGTCACTGCTAAGAATTCTGTACCATGATTTTCCATGTGGAAGGGTCAAAAACAAACAAACAAACAAACAAAAACCCCACAAAAAAAACATAAAAGCCAAATCTGTGTCCAGGACAGTGAGGGGAAGTTGTTTCCTGAGAATAGGAAGGATGAAACAGAAGCAAAACCATTCAGCCCTACACGGTATTGGAAGTGTGTATCTGTTAGAGCTTTAAGTTGTTCTTCCAACGTAGTTCATTTTATTCCTTCACATCATACAACATGACAAAGAAAATAAGAATTCATCAAGAACGCATAAAGACATCAGCACAGACAACAACTGGGCCTTCTGTAGGACCAATCAACAACAGATCAAAACAGTCATCTTCTGTTTATTTTGTAAGCATTAGTAAAAGCAAAAAGAAATACCAGTAACTAGCGCTGAAGTCCTATGAAGAATACACAATACTGACAGTATCATCTTAAACAATTAAATTTGAAAATCTCAAGCAGATACTACCAAGTTTCATGACATAAAAAAAATTTACCATTGAAATATATGTGTCATGGAATTATCTGCTAAAGATATATTGAATTTAATTTAGGATCATGCTGCATCCGGTCTGACATTTGTGCATAATTTTTCTTAAACTACCTGATTTCTAATTTTATGGTGCCTTTTTTTACACCTTTGATTAATTTTATTGTGGCATTTAAATTTTCTTAAACAATTCCTACAGATGATCCATAATTTTAATCAATTCTTTTTTTAAAAGATTTATTTTTATTATTTTTTCATTTGAATCAATTCTTTTGCCTAGACAAGGCACCTCAGATTACTAATACCATTTATTTAAAAATAAAGAAATATTAAATACTTTAAAAGTCTGAGAGAGAGAGAGAATTTCCATCCACTGGGTCACTCCCCCAAACGACCATAATGACAAGCATTGGGCCAGCCTCACTCAGTTCTCCCACATGGGTGGCAGAGGCCCAAAATCTTGAACCATCTCTACCACTTTTGTGGACTATTTTCAGGTGGCTGGGCTGTAAGTGGAGCAGCCAGCACTCAAACTGGTACCTATATGTGGTATCAGCATTACAGGTGCTGGCCTTACCCATATCCCAGAATGCTGTCCAACATCATACTTAAATGCTTTTGTAAAACTTATTTTCTAAGAACACTTTGCATTATATGCACATTCATAGAATCATTGAATTTAGTCTTTCAGCAGGGATGAGGAGTTTGCTATGAGGAATTGTGTTTTCCACCAATGTTTAACTTCCAGGAGCTGAATAAAATATAGATGAATAGTATCATTAATGAAGAATACCCATGTTTTAAAACAAACATAATCAAACTGCATGATTCTGGTTAAAAAAAAAAACTAAAAAACAAAAAACAAATGTATGACCAAGAGGTATCAATGAAACTTCATAGAAACAGTGTTTAGATAGTTCACAGAATCTTCAAGCTCAGTAAACCTGGAACAATCTAACCATTTTCTTTAGTGGGAACAGATTAGATAGCAAATCTCTCATGTATTATCAAGGAAAAAGAGTGAGAGAGAGAGACAAATGGCGGCTCAACTTCTGCATACATGAAAAGTATGCAGTAAACCACCACAAGGCTTGGGTTGGTGCAGATTGAAAAAACATTTCTGAAATCCCCATGCTTGTAGCTACCATAAAACACAGAGAAAGAAAAAAATTGTCAAAAGGCTTCCACTTGGTGGTTTATTCATCAAACACTCAACACAGATTCATTGAGCGATTCACACATGCCAGACACAGAAAAGTATACAATAAAAATTGCAGGCTCTCACGGAGAATGTATTGTCATGCCAGCAGAAAGCTAGACAACAAGGAGCAAATGAGTGAACACAGCAATCTCACAAAGAGATTTGCGTCCTGGAAAAAGAAGAGAAAGACCATCACTCTTCCAAGTGGTTCAGGAAAGTCACACTAGGAAACGAGAAGGCAGGATGTAATTTTGATGTAGAGAAATACAAATCTCAGACTGTTTCTGCAGGACTTTTTATTCCTCTCTCTCCTGCTGGCCAGATTTTGCCATTTCACTAATTATTATTGTTCCACAAAGTGTTGCAATGCCAGTCAATAAGTGATTATTGGGATCCCACTGTGTTCTCAGCACCAGTGTGATTGGAAAATGTGACTGAATCCAAGTAACGAATTCTACTGCTGTGATAAAATATGAGGTGGGGAAGCAGGCTCAAGTCAGTCAGGAACATAAATCTTCTGGTTCTGAAAGGGGTGTTTGAGTCTGGGTTTCCCCAGTGCAAGTGTCTCTCCCTAACCTCATCATCACAGTTCCTCCGAGGAAGCAATCGCTTACACCACTAGATGGCACCAATTATTCTCAGATTTTTACATCAGAAGGAAAAGATTTTTATATGCAATGGCCAGTCCAATGGAAAAACATTACCTGGCACAGTTATTAATAGAATTGTTAAATTTCATTGACAAATTTTTTACAAGATCACAGTAACAGTAACAGCCCTGAAGATGCTATGTTCATTCACGCCCAGATGTTGTTCCTTCAGTGTATATTTATTCTAATCATCTTTTGCTTAATTTATAAACATTATGCTTGAATGTATAAAAATGAAAAGTAACTGAAATATATACATAATCAAACATATATATAAATATATCAGGATCTAAATAGCTGATAACCTATTATGATATTTCATGCATATAAAGAGCTTTGCAGGTAATCTTTTAAACAGGTATAGAGCCATGTTTGTCAGGAAATCTTTCCTTTAATATTTCTAAACATACCAAAAAATACTCTGGCATTAACCAATTGCAATTAAGTGAACCCAAGATATGATAAGATGTAAAGTAGGGTAAAAAATAACTCAACGATGTGCATGTCGCTATTCAACCTAAAATATAATATGTATAGCATTCTAAAATGTATTTAAAAATCAGGCCTAAATGACATGTTGCATTGTGTGAATTCCCTGTTTCACACAGCCAAACTGACACTGTGCTTGAAATATCATGCAAAATTTTCCTAAAGGAAAAAGGCACACAATGTTCTCATTTATCAAAAAAAAAAAAAAAATGCTGCATAAGCAAAGTATGCTTATGCAGTAAAAGTATTTAACCATTCTTACAGCTCCCATTAAACACATAAGTATGGTATGAGGATAATCATGTTAGACTTCAAAATAAATATAATAATAAGCTATGCATAAACAGAAAATGCATTGAAAAGTTCAACATACTGTATAAACAATTAATCAGAAGCAAAAATGAAATCACTTCTGCATTATACTAAGAAATTGTCTCTCTAAATATAAACATTCTTATCACATCAGCATGAAAAGCTAATGTCTCAGAATAACTTTTGGTTTGGACCACATAATGCAACAAGTTGAGTTTCCACCTGCGACAACAGCCTCCCCATCAGAGGTTCATTTGAAACCTGGTTCCACTGCATTCAATTCAGCTTCCTGCAAATGAAGCTGGAAAGTTAATATGATCCTAGTCTTGGGTCCCTGCCACCCAAATTGGAGGTGTGGATAAAATTCAGAGCTGCTAGCTTCCTCCTGATCCACTGCAGCCATTGGGAGAGTGAAAAGTAGATGGAAGATCTCTGTCTGCCTAATCCTTTTTCTCTGTCCTTTTTGACAAAAAAAGAAAAAATGCTGCTTAATTTGACTATCACTGTAATCTGCTTATTTTAAAACAGTCAAAAATAATACTTACTTTCATATCTCCCAGGGTATTTTGCCTCATGGCAAAAAGCTTTCTAAATCTCTGCTCTTCCTCATAGAGCCTCTCCTCACAGTTTGCTTTCGCCTCCATGAGTTGATCAAACACAGCTTGCGCATGCTCCCTTTTAAATTGTGCAGTTAAAAATACATCCCTGTGAAGAAAGAATTCCACGTGCTATTGATCAACTCAGATTAGCTAAAATACATTTATTAGAGACATTTAAAGAAGTGCAATATTAGTCTACGGCCATACCATGCTGGACGCGCCCGATCTTGTCTGATCTGGAAAGCTAAGCAGCATCGGGCCTGGTTAGTACTTGGATGAGAGAAATGTAATATTATAGAACCTTAAGAGCTGAAGGACCTGAGAAAAAAATTACCTATTTCATTCCGAAGTTCAACCTCCATAGCACTGCATCTAAATGGAACAAATAAAAGTAGATGCTCTTAGTTGCCTATGCAACATACCCCGGTTCTGCTGGCATGTTAGAAGACCTCTTCCTTCAGGCATCATTTTAATTTGAGAAAGAGTTTTTGATTAGAATTAAGACATTATGCACATAGCTGGGAAGTGAGCACCTATATTGAATAGCCCAACAAAATAGAAAGCAGGTAATCAGGTAATTTCATGTAGAGGAAAAGTTTATGTGAGCTAATCTGAACACAAGTCATGTTTCCAAAATTGCTGACAACAGCTATGGTAGTGGACAAAAGGGGATCTATTGGGTTGAACTGCTGAATAAGCCAGCCCTGCAGGCTGCCCTACCTGTGGACTTATAATTAGATGACACGTTTTCCTGTTTAAGCTGATGAGTGTTTGGGAGTCTATGTGTTCATTTTCTTATACATAATGAACTACAGCCTGACACAGAAGGAAAGTAACAGGATGAGCTCAGTCATTATGGAAGGAATAACACTATCAGACAGCACATTAAGAAATAGTTAAAACATTACTGACAACAATAAGTATTCTTAAGGAATAATTAGCAGAGTTGAGCAGCAACCAAAATACAATATAGAACTATGCACAGGATAGTTTTATGCTAACTCCATTACATGTTATCTCTGCTGATATAGAAAAGTAAACTATTTGCATAGTTATGAAGGCAGCAATGCGAATTTCTTGGAAGCACTAAAATGTTAAATTATTCTTAGTAACATATCATTTAATACAACAAAAACATTCCATGAAATAACAATTATTGCAGTTATTTACAGTTGAGAAACTTAGACATGGGGTGCTATTTACTTGTACAGACTCAAATATTTAGTCTACAAAAGAGCCAGAATTCAAATCCAGTCTGTTTCTCTCCATTTCCTTTGGCAGCTTAGCACCAAATGCTCATGTTTTTTTTCCTCATCATGCCTGTTATCTGCATATTTGAAACTAAGAGCCTCTCCTATCAGAAATGAAGTCCTTTTTCCTCTATCTTTTGCCTTGCCTTTTCTCCCCCACCCCATTATCCATACTAGTCACATACTAAACTCTGAAATAAGATCTTAATCAAAGTATCCAATAATATTAACATTATGGAGCACAGGCAACCAATAAAATCCACATAGGAAGGATCCAATATGATCAGAAGCATAAAAAGCTCACAGTTTCTGCCCCAAACCATCGTTGCATCTTCACCTCATGTTCTCTGCTCTGGATACTAAGCATTTTGATATGGGATCATGCTGAATATAAAATGTTATGAGTTCTACAAATACACACATACTACATACACTCATGTTAGGTATCAATGCATAAAAATTGAATTTTTTCCTCAGAGTGATAAAAAGCAAATTTGGAAGTCTTATGTATTAAGTTTGCATCCTGCCACATCCTAGTTAATAAGCAATTATAAAAACTGACAGCCAAGAATAGCGCTGACTGCCATGATTCTGATATCAAATTTTAATTGTCCCTATATGTGCAAGTTGTAACTCTCTAAAGTGATGTTCAACAAATTGGAGTTGTTTTCCCACTTGCCATTTCTTTGTGCCTGGGAGGGCCTGGCCCCAGGCCCAGTATGTGTTCAAAATAAAGAATTAATGATTACTCAACATGCAAGTAGATTATTCATAACACAGCTTATTGACAGTAATCTTCCTTTGCAATTGTAGATTAAAAAGTCAATATGCACAGTCTAAAGCGCACGCCCTTTGGAAGATGATGGATCGAAGCAGGCACTAGTCGTGCCACTAACTAGCTGTGTGATCTTATGACAATCATTTAATTTTCCTAAGTTTCTGTTTCCTCCGTATTTATTTAGATATTATATTATACAAAGGAATCCCAAGATGTTCATGTAAAGAGAATTAAAAAATAAGAACATTTTGGTACAAAAATATTGAAGCCCATGTATATATATTTCACTATTTATAAAAAAAGGAACATTTTGAAAAATATGTGATTCAAAAGCTTTTTGTAACAAACTCAAGACTTTTTATAACAAAATAAGCTTATATTTTAATTTCATTTTCCACAAATGTTGATGTCTCCTAGTATCTAAATGAAACTAACATTCCTAAATGTTATCAGTGTACATTCCTCCTCCAAGTACAAACTTCAATATTTCACAAAACATAAATAATTACCAGGATGAATAAACAGTATAGAATCTCCAGAGTCTTAGAATATCTCACGAAACCTAGAGCATGTTCATTCTCCAAGCTAACCCTTCACAGGTATTCCCTGCCTTATGAACTGACGGTATCAGGGCCCCCAACGATAGTGAGAATGAATAAACTACAAGGGCTAGATAGAATAACTATCTCTAAACTCCCTCTTCAAAACTGTAACCAAAATATTTGACATATCTTTGGGTGAAAACCCATCAAATATTAAATATGACATAAAAATACAAATAAATAGAAAACCAATAGAGAATACTGTCAATATTATAAAGAATAATATTTAATATATGGAAAAACATCCCATTATTTCAACAGCAGTAAATTCAAAGTAGCCATGAAGAATAAAATTTATGTATAATTACACAAATATGAATTAAAATTATTGAATATCACAAGCTTATTAAATAACAGAAACTAAACCTCTTAAAGAATACAAATTTTATTTTTAATTAAAACTATATTAAATACAGAATTTTGAACAATTATGAGAACTTACCTTAAATTAACCAATATCTTTTCAAATCTCTTCTTTTCTTTTTCTTTTATTTCTAATTCGTGACTCAATTCATCTATCTTTGTGTGAAAAATAATGGTTTTACTTTTTGCTTTCTCCAATTCTTTAAAAACAGTTGAACGTTTACTCTGAAAGAAAAAGTCAAGTGTGATTTGCATTTGTATATCCTTTCATTTTAGAGACACAATTATTTTTGTTGCATGTAAATTGAAAGGAAGCACTATCTGCCTATCAATATATATAATGATTTATATATATTGGTTTATATTCTCCACTACCTACAGTAGAAAACTTTTCTTTTAAAGATAGGTTTAAACTACCCCCCACCATCTCTCTCTCTCTGTTCCCCCTCCTTGTCCTCCCTCTCTTTCTCCACTATACAAACTTGCCCAATCCCATCTACATACACCAGTAGATAGCACACATCACAGGTATGTTACATCAAGATGCAATTACGTGGATAATGTTTTCCCAATGTCTATCATACATATTGGCAGATTGCCCACTATATATATATATATATTCACTCTTTTTCCAGGAAAAAAAAAAGTAGTATTTAATCCAAATGCAATTTCCCAAGGCAGAACTATGTAATTCTGGGTTGAAGACTGATTTTACATTTATTTTTACATGTTCCTTTCATAACTGTTGATGTTCATATTGACTAACTTCTTGATTGAATGAGATATGAAACATTGATTCCCACATATGCAATTACTCCTAATCGCTGGAACTCCTGCAATGGAGTCCACAGATCGCAGTTGTTTTCTTTGCTGATTTTCCTCTATTCCTCACCCCTCCCATGTGCTTCCTAATCTTTTCTCATGGATTTCAGGAATCACTAATCTTTTTCACAAAATAATTGACATCTGTCTAAGATGTTAAATATTGGGTTATATATATGTGTTTTTCCATTTCCCCTGCTTTCTTTTATCTGTGGAAATTCTACTGATAAACTGAGTAGGTGTTTCTTACACTGGATTAGAGAAATAGTTTATTAGGGCTCCTTGATGGGTCCACTGGAATACTATCTTTCTTTAAAGACAAACAAACAAAACAAGAAAACAAAAAAGTCAACCTAAAGAAAGGTAGTGGAAGGGAGTTAGTATGAATTAAATACATAGAAATCAAAGGGCACAGGAAACTCCAGGTACCGCTGTCTATCACAAAACTTGCATTTCAGGTTATAATTAATTTCTTGGTCTTAAACAAAGATGGGAAACTGAGATTTTTCAGAAGCACTGATGTTAATAATTACTTTGAACAAACCTCCATCAGAATGCTGATGGTGGCACCATAGGATACTCCAATCAAGAGATGAAAGAGGCATGGAATTTCCTGCAGACAGCAGCGAAAAGCAAACATTGTATGTGAGCACCTTTAACAAGTAGCATCAGTGAGGCTCTGTACATCAGTGGGCAGCTGTCCCCTCACTTGACACCCACAGTCTTAAGATTTCCCCATTGTGGGCTCAGTCTAGAGAGAGAAAAAGCATTCATAGATGCCTTGAGACTGTGAAGAGTACAGATCTTCCTATGTAAACGGAGACAAAACACTTGGAGACCACAGCCTTTGCTCTTTCCCCTTTTCCCCTTTTTCTCTTGTTTCTTTTATGTTCTTTTCTGCTTTTCCATTCTTCCCACTGTCCCTCCCCCTTTTTCTCCCTATCTTCTTACCTCCCAGAAGCCCTCCTTTACCTCCTTCTTTCCTTCTTTCCTACCTTCCTTCCCTCCTTCTTTTCTTTGAGCTATTGAAAAGGAATGTGATTTCTTTTTCAATATTTATTGATTTGAAAAAGCCAGAGGGAAAGAGAAATACCTTTTGCCTACTTGTTCACTCCCTAATGTCTGTAACAGCTGAGGATGGGTAAGACCTAAATTAAGAGCCCAGTACTCTGCGGGGTCTCCCACATAGTTCCAGGAGTTTCTTGCTCCACAGCCCTCTCACATCTCACTACTCTGCCACTGCAGCTATGTTTAGGATGTATTCATGGCTGTCCCACTCCCTGCTTGCATCTCAACCAGATGGAGTGCTTCCTGAGAAAGCCACATTCTGCGTTTATTTTGTCATCTGCAACGTTTTCCAACATCTCACACATTGTACATGTTCTTTAGAAACCACAGTATTCAAAGGGAAGATGAAATTGACCTTTACCTAACTTCCAGCTCCTAGTACCTGCTACCACCCTCTTAGGAATTTCTACACACACAAACATGAGCACACACACACACACACACACACACACACACACACACTGGTTTTCATTGGAATTGTTTTATATTAGATATTCTATCTCTGGACATTTTTATTTCTTATAAATGAAACTAACATTCAGATACAAAAACCATGATGGTTTTTTATTCCAATGTTAAACACAAGTTCTCTCTTTGGTGACTTGTGTCACAGGTAATTAATAATACTGTTATGAGGAATAATCAAAATACATTTAGTGTCTCATTATCAAATACAGTATTTATTGGAAAATACTGGCAGGCACTCTATGTTCAGATTATAAAATGTTTTTATATATTTTTTAAAATTTTATTTTTGATTCAGTAAAACATTATCCTTAATGAGTATCTTTGTAATATCTTTAATAATAAAAATGAGTAAAAGTAAGGATGTTTTCATTGTACTACTAGAAAGCTTAGTGTTACTTTAGAATTCTTAGAAGCTATGGACCCTTGTCAAATACTCAGGTTAAGTGCCTTTTTATCTACTAATGAAGTGAATTATAGCACAAGTTTCTTATGCAGAATCATTTTCACATTTAAAAAAAACTGGTTTATGTATTATGTTTTATTACATTACAAAATTGGCTTACATAGTATAAAGATCTTGCCATTTAGTTCAAAAGTGGTATCAGCTATAAAAATTTTTTGTGCCATGGCTTTCAACAATGCTTTTATACTTATTCTTTAATTATAAAATGAGTTTGGAAATAGTTGATGTTTTCATGTGCTGTTTAACTAGTTCTTGTATGGAGACCGGTAAAACATTTTCATTTGTTCTTATTCCTAGCAACGCTTGAACCAATTAAACTTCCTCTATTATCACTGTTCTATCCTTATGAGATTTTTTTCTCCTTTGCCAGTTTTCATCATTTGTATTTTATAAATAAATCATACATTTCAGTTTTATTTTAAAACAACAAAAGACACTCAGCAAAGTAAAGAGGTGACTGACAGAATGGAAGACAGTATCAGCAAACTATAGATATAACAAAGGATTGATATCTAGGATATCTAAAAACTCAAGAAATTTAGTAATAGCAAAATGAGCAATCCTGTTAAGAAATGGGAGAAGGCAATCTTCAAATTATAAAATGCAAGAGGCCAACAGACACATGAGAATATGCACAGGAAAATGCAAATCAAGCCCTGGAGATTTTTCCTGATTTCAGTGAGAATGACTACCACACAAAAATTTTAAAATAACAAATTCTGTTTAGGATGTGGGGAAAAAATGTATTCTAATACACTATCAGTGGGAACATAAACTAGCACAAAAATATGGAAGACAATATGAAGATTACTCAGATATCTGAAAACAGATCTCCTATATGACTCAGCCATCCCTCTCCTAGGAATATACCTAAAGGAAATGAAATCAGCATATGGAAGAGTTGTCTGGAATCCCATGTTTGCAGCAGCTCAATGCATGATAGCTAAGCTATGGATTCAACCCAGATGTCTGTCTTCTGATAACTAGATAAAAGAAAACGCAGTTTACATATACACAATGGAACACTACTCAGCTCTCTGGAGCACAATCCCAGGTTCATCACCACTGAGTTATCTGAATCCATGAATAAGACACTAGATTTCTCCACCACAGAATGTAGATAAGAGCAAATTCTTCACAGGAAGATGAAATGAGTTACTTTATCCAAGTGCTTAGGACAAGGCCGAGGACACAGAAAACATTTATCAAATATTTATTATTGTTGCTGTTATCTTCCCAGGTAAATTATTGTATTTAGTTTGTGGTCTAGTATAGAACAAACTATTTAAAAATTATGTGATGACCCATATGCAGTCCACCAATAAATCCTACGGAGATTATCTTGATAATATCCCCAGTGTATAGCAAGATAAAGATAATGTGGCACTCTCCCACTATGCCCTCATACTCAATAATAATTTTTAAATGATATCATCAATATTAGATATAAAGATTTTCATGGAAGAAACATTTTTACTTTATAAAAATCCCTTAAGCTCTTTTAGGCATAGCCATTTGTTTTTGGTGCCTACTTGCCAACTCGTGGGTAAAATTAAGATAGTAGGGATGAACAATGATTTTAGTCTGCAGGTTATTTCTATCTTCAGTCTAGTATACTTCATGTCCTAACCTAACAGGGATAGGAGAGCAGTCAGTGAGTGCTACAATGTACCAGTTACGGGAAAATGTTCAGTATTTGAGTGATGCTTTGGGGACTCAATATAACACTGTAATTAATGCTATATCAACTTGATAATTGAAAGTCTGAGATTCAGAGGTTTAATAACTAGCTCAATATGATGCAGCTACAAAATGATGAAAACAGGTTGGAGATTAGATACCTCTGACACTTCCTTTTTTCTCTGTAGCTGGCAAATGAACTTTGGTCACCACTCTTGGAAGAATTCACATGAGATTTCAGCATATGTACTAGAAAAAGGCACATGGGACCTTTTCATATGGATCAAAGGAGACCCTTGCTACTCCAGAAATTAATTCATTCAACCTTGGATTGTATAAATGGGATGGCAAGTACTTCATGGATTGCTGTGACAAGCCAATGAAATAATGTGTATCTGCATTTGTCAGCACACTGAAATTAGCATCAATAACCAAACTCGCACTGATAGCACTGGATAAAGATAATGCCCTTGCTGGGAACATGAGTTTCTTTTCTGCTCTGAACTAGCTCACTGATTCTTCATTGCTGGAATAAATCATGTCATCCATTTGTGGATCTACTTTTGGAATCCCAGCATGCTTTCTTTCTTAAAAGTGCTTCAGCAAAGACACTCTGGTATCTGGTAATATCCTTTAGTCTACTCCTATTTGAGCCTTTGCTTATTGTTCAGCATAACTTGCTAAATCTTGGGGAACAGACTGGCACAGAAAAGTGATTCTGTTTATGAGGTCTGCCCCAGAGGCAGCCCCAGACAATCCTGACAATCAACCATGCCAACTCTTTTTGAAGGGATGAAATGCACTCACTATTCACAATCCTTTATACCTTTAGTCACCTTTCCCCAAGAATCCACTCCCTCTTTCCCCTGGAGAGTTGGGAACATGGTGACTCCTATACAGCAGGCACTAAATTGAGGTATAGCAAGGCAAACACTTTGCAGTTGGAATGTTTTCATTTTTTCCATTCTTTCTGTTGGGTTAAAAAGGATGCTGAAACTGCAAATTTGGGTTCAAGCACCACATCCCCGGGGAAAAGTGAAGTTTGCCTTTTTCTCACTGGTATTTTTGAAAATACTTTTGTTCTACAGCTAGGTAAAGTGGGGAAGAGATAGAAGGACATGAGAGGTAAGAAGGGTGACTTCAGAAAACTCAAGGGAGCCCCATCAGGCCTTCAGTGTGCACAGTACATGAGAATTCTGAAAATAAGGGATACGAGGTGTCTAACTGAAAGTTTTGCTTGTGGGGGAGTAAGATACCATTTACTTCAAGTTACAGTGCGCTATATGAAATAAAAGTACAAAGGTTCTTAAAACTTTTGGGTCTTGAATCATATTCAGTTTACTGAGATACTACTCTCATCAGCTGGGGATTGGAATGCTTGTCTTAGAAACCTTATTATATTCCACACAGTCTTCCCACAAACACATATACACACACACACACACACACACACACACACACACACACACACTATTCTCCCTAGAAAAACAGGATAAAATTTTATCATGTGAAGTCATTTCCGTAGCTTAGCTGGAAACTTAGAGTCTTTGTATACAAGACAAGTGGTAAGACAAACGGAAACAACCTAGATGATTCCTGAGGATCAAATCTGACTTGTGGTTGATTTAAAATGTAAAGAGTTATGTAATCTTTTTGAAATTAAATTTTTGTATTCTTAGTATTAATCCACACACTCTTTACATAATATATTATATTGAAATAACTGTTATATAAGTCACTTGAAAACAAAATTCTCTATCTGAAAATCAAAAATCTTGTTCATTTACAATTATATTTATGGTAAGTATGATATTTTATATTGAAAAATGTCAAACTGGTGATCGGGAACTGAGACAGTAGGCATACTTCCATCTGTTAAACTACAGTGAAATCGTGTTAATTTTTTTTTATTAAATTCAATATCAGCTTCTTTTTTTCTTCTTCTTCTTTTGTTCCTTCCCGCAACCCCCCCAGTCACTTTCCTCATTTCCTTTCTGTTTTAAATCAGACTGCTACAACAAAATACCCTAGGATGAGTAGTTTGTAAACTGAAATCTGTTTCTTGTGTTAAGGCTAAAAAATGCCCAAGAACAAGACACCAACAGAGTGTGCCCTGGCAGGGTCAGGGATGGTACAAGCAGACTCCCTGGGGTCTCTTTTATTGAAGAACTAATCTCATACTTAAGGGCCACTCACAGGCCTTGCTAAGTGGTTTATTATTATTATTATTATTAATTATTATTGTTATTAATTACCTCACTAATTCATAGGTCATACAGTAGCATCATTTTATTCAAGAAGCTTTTGAATTTCTTTTTCATTTCTTCAACAGCATGTTAGGCATTAAGTAGCCATGCTATTTAACTTCATGTTGTAAAATTTCTATTTTTCTTCCTTCTGTTGATTTTATTTTATGGCTTTTCAATTTAATGGGATTGAGGCATATTAGTGTGTAATGAGACTATCATATCCAGATGTAAAGATACAATGCAGTATACATCTCTACTATCAATCAAAGATGGACTCCCAGTGAATCTGTGAAATATATCTTGACAATAGGATGATGGACTGACTATCTGTCATTGTCCATACCTACAATATCAGGATACACTTAAATAGAAGGTTGATAAACTTAGGACTCTGTGAAGGACTATACTGCTATAATAATATGGGAGGAGTCAGTAGGGCAAGGGTGGGAAATCCCAGAGTTTATGGAACCAAATTACAAAATTAAAAAAAAAAAGAACTAACAAAAATAAAACAAATGATGCTTGCCAAGAAGAGTTTTGGAGGAACACCAAAACAGAGCACAGTGATTCCCCTGTTTCTTTTTCTTCTCCAGTCTCTGTTTCATTCCTTTGTTTTTCCTCTTAGCTTTCTCCTTTTCCTCTCTTTTCACTGCTCCCTGAGATTCCCAAGCAACAGGAGTCAGCATAAAACAATTACAGAAATCCAATTACCTCAAGAACCCAACTTCAATTGTATTTGCACTTGATGTGGATTAGGCTATCAGACCCTTTTACAGGCAGAAGCAGGAAAGACTCTATAAAGGGACATAGCCAGGAGCTTGAGCTGAAGGTATAGCATCATTTGGGATGTCTTCATTCCACACCAAGGGTGCCTTCCAATTCCAGCTTCTGCTAACACACACCTTGGGCGGCAGCAATGGCTCCAGCACTTGGGTCGCAGTGAGCCACACAGGAAAACCCAACTTGGCTCTAGGCTCTTGGATCTATCTAAAATCCAGCGCCAGCTACTGGAAATATCTGGGGAGTGGATCAGCAAAAGGGAGTTCCCTCCCCCTCTCGAAGAAAAAGGAAATAAATAAATAAAAGTTTAATAGAACTAAATGTGTACATGGAGGCCATATATAACTGTGTGTTCCTCTGTGTCCTGTCGCAAACAGTACAATCCGTTAGCAATAAGAAGCTTATCTCAAATTAAACTTGCTTAAATCATTTTTTGTATTCATAAAAAATATAAAGTCAAAATTATTTTGTAAAGTGACACTTCTCACCTCAGTTTCTGTTAGTGCTTCAAGGGTTTTTCTCCCTCTTTTCTTCAAGCTTTTCTTGGTTTTTTCCACCCTTCTTCTAACATTGGCTTTCTTCTCAAGTACCTCATTAAGTGTCTAGAAGACATCCAAGTATTCAGATGTACTGCATTTACCTGACAGTTTCTGTAATGGTTTAGACCAAATGTATCCAAGTGGCTATTTTTAAAAACAACAATTTTTACTTTGGAAAATCACCACACATGCCTTATAATATATACCATGATATGTAAAATCACAATATTCCATTTGCATTACTTGAGAATTAATTTTAGTAAAAAAAATCTATTATGCCATATAAAATCTTTTGTCAAATATAAATTATTAAGTCATTGTGAAGTGTGCCAAAATCTATTCCTTTCCAGTGCTTATTTTATGTATTTATTTTAATAAATACATATGCTATGTATTTATTAACTATTAAAATATAAAAAGTGATTATTGAATCATGAAAAAACACAAAATCATGACTTTCATAAAATAAGGGAAGAAAGTCACTATATTGATCATGTCTTGGAATGTGTTATTGTTCTTATTTAATTTTACTAAGCCTTTTGATGAAATTAAGAACTCTTTGATTAATGTAAGGTGAATTCATTATTAAAATCACTGTCCCACTAGATGCTAGCACCAGTGATGTATTTGTTACTTGAGCACAAGGATGGCATTTCAGACCCGAAATAAAGCAGTGCTCAGAACCTGTGGTTTTTCTGTCTGGTGATCTTGCAGACAATGCTCAGGCAGTCTGGGCTCACGTTATCTCCAGTCTGTAATGGTTTGTCTGGCTCATGAGGGAGACTTTACAAAACTAAGTACTTATAATAAGAGTACTTATAAATTATAATTTCTTTGATAAAGATATTTTGAAAATTATTAATGACCAAGAGTATCAATTTGCATCATCACTTTCAAAGAAAAACTTGACTCCTACACAAATGGCCCGAATACATTGAATGCACACCTTCCCTTAAGGGAAGGACAGGATGTATAACTCTCACCACACCCTCTGCGTTTCCAGAAGACTAACGACACGACCTGAACATATTTATCTACTAACTTTTGCTTTGGGAAGGGCTGGTCATATCAGTTACTGCCATTAGCTTGTAGCTTTGAAAATATTTTTTCACTTGGTCTTAACATTTGCAACACAGTCACAATTTACGACGAAAAAAAAGTGTCAAGATTCCTTACGCTATAGAAAGAATTCAAGAAACCACAGCTTCTGTATTCTGTTAAGAAGAATTGAAGACTCAGTTAAACTGACCACAGTGGGAAAAGACACCATTCAGCCACTTAAATACTACTTTTCCTAAGAGCATTCTTAAGAGCATGGGACCCAGGGCAGCGAATGCAGCTACACAGTATCACTGCAGACCAGTGGAGAGGTCCTGAAGCACTCATGTTACTTGGTTTGTCCATGTTTTTCCTGTGTGAAGCCAGAATTTTCCACAGAATTACATCAACTTGATACATGATTTACCAGTCTCAACATTCGTACAAATTGGGTTCTGGGTTAGCCATAAATGCTTACATTAGTTTGATCTTGGTGGATAGCTCTGATTCTTTCAGCTTCCTCTTCCATCTGACTTAGAGGTTCCTCCATGCCTGCAATGGTTAGGTTGTATATGGCTTTCTTTTGCAGAAGATCCTGCCTCTCCAGCAACTGAGATTCTTGAATGGAAAACATTCTTTTCTGCCAGCAAATATTTTAAATAATTTTAATTTTCATTCAGTTATTAATTAATTAAACATTTATTAACACTGATCCAGACACGTGTCAGGTAGTCATCTTTTTGTTATTTAAAAATCAAATACATGCCAGCATAGAAAAGAAATCAGTTCAAATACAGTTGATTAAAAAGGCATTGATTATCATTATAAGAAATGAGAGAAAAATTTAATGGGCAATAAAGCTAAAACATGCTTAAGTGGTTATAGGGAGACAGGAAGTTAGAGAACACAGTCCCAGGAACAAATAGTAGAATATATACAATGCCCGCCACCTAAGAACACATACAAATAATGAACAGGAAGTTAGTAAGAAAACGTTAGGCAGAAAGATTGTGGCATTGTTGTGCAGAAATACGCAGACATAATAAAAAAAATCACAAAATTCACGTTTACTTCAAAGAGAACCAAAGGTTCAGATAATCCCCAAGAATATGCTCCTATATTGTCTTGTAACTTGATTTCATTTTTCTTGTAACAAAAATTTCAAATATGTATATATTTCTGAAGGGGAGATATTCCAGATATGTGTTACAGATCAAACAAATCCCAAGCCGGATTTCAAAGAACATGCAAGTAGTAGATAAGAATTTTAAAATTCAGGTTGATTTTGCTGAACACAGTGCTTTAGATTCAAATCTGTGCTGCAGAAACACCACAGCATATTTTGCTTTCAGGGTTAAATAAAGAAATTTGAGAGAGACACTAAAAGTAAAGAAAATATAACATCATCACAAAACAAACCAAAGAGTTAGACACTTCAGAATAAGATCTCCCTGCCCTTTTACTAGACTGGCAGAAATTCCCATTAAGCTACAAAATGAGATATGTGTATGGGAGGTCAGTTTCTTTATGCATGAGCAGACACAGCTAGTTGTACACAGAGGGCAACTGTCATCAGCTAAGGAGAGAAAACTGCTGGCTTGCAAACCACGTAGTGACAAGATGCCTCATTACAGGCAAATTTAAAATGCTAAGTAAAAAGCAAATTAAAGGAAGAGTAAAATATTGAGACCAAATTAGTATTACCTGCATCACCATTCCAGCAGCCACTTGACTTCGAATAAGCTTTTTCAAGAAATCTTCTCTGCCCTGTATGTTATCAAATTTTTAAAAATGAGTTTTTAGTCACAGAATATGAATAAACACTTTCAAAATTGCTAACACAAGACATATTTTACTTATGTTGCAATAGAGTAAAACATCCATTAAAATTTGTGCATTATAAAATTTTTTAAAAAGCTTAGTGCTGCAAAAAATACAAAAATGATAAAAATAAAAGGAATATTTTTTTAAAAAGCTTAGTGTTGTTTGAGGCAAGATAATTATTTTACGTAACATTAAGACAAAATTACAAAATTTAGTTGCATTTAGTGCATACCTTATAGTCCAGAATATAGAAAAATGGAGTAATCAGAAAGTGAATCCTAGAAAGTCATCAGGTTCCTCATTTTAAAGTACTATCACACTGCTGTATTTCGTATTAATAGTTAATATTATGTTCCAAAATCAGCACAGTCAGCTTTGAAAAATAAGAAAAATACAATTCAAATGTGAAGTTTGAAAAATAATATCAACTTCTCCATTTGGTTATAAGTGATGTTATCTTTTTCACTTATTTTTCAGTAGCTCCTTGAAAGCTAGTGAGTTAAAAAAAAAAAATGTTGGATAAATTCTGCCTTTGGAAGTTGAACAAATTGTCCCAAGATTGTCGAGTATCCACAAAAAAAACAAGAATTGGAAGAACCATAAATTTCCTTCTGTTGCATAATTCTCTCTTACAGCTCCTTGAGTGAAGAGGTAGTTTGAATGTGCAGGGGTCCTCCAGATGTCAGAGCACGGTGAAGAACAGCAGAGCAACGTCAGAAGTGTCTCTATTACCAACTTCCTTACAGAATCACCCATCCTTGCCCAGAGTCTATAGAGCTAATGTGAAGAACAAGACTTTGGGCCTTTCTTTCAACTCAACCTGTGCTCCAGATGGAGCAACCCATTTGAATCATAATCTCCTAAAGTAAAGGAACAATCCCAAAGAAGGAAACAGGATGACAAATGAGGCATTATATTTAATATGTCACTCTTACTAGTTACATGGCCCAAATCTAAGCAAGTTATACACCTATGACAATAGCATGCTGGACACTTGGCCATTGTCCATACCTATAATATCAGGATACACTGAAATAGAATGACAGACTCAGGACTATTTATGAAGGACTATGCTATTGTAATAACATAGGGGAAAAGCGGGAGGGGGAGTTGGGGAGGCACTAAGAGAAACCCCAGAGCCTATGGAATTGTAACATAAAGGAATAATAAAAACAACACACAAACATGCACACACAAACAAGAAACAAAATTTAAAATACATCTATAGACTAGAGGAAAATACATAATTTCCAAGATAGAATGCTATATTGAACTTTCACTGAAACTAATTAAAAAGCAGGGGAGTGGAGAGATGAATTTTTGAATAGGTCAAAGGTGAAGCGGTGAATAACATATTATGCAGATTAAGAAAATTAATAAAGAATGTTAAGCAATACACATGCTTTAGAAATCTCCACCTAGCTGCAAATGGATTTCCTACATTATGCTTCTTTAAAAATCATTCATACATTCATTCAAGTTTTTTTAATCAACAACTAATAAGAGAGCAGCCCATTACTTAAACAAACATAAGCCTCTTAGGTAAGCTAATACAATGCAAAAATAACTTAAGGATATAAAGCTAAGACATAGTAGAAATTATAACAAAAATAGTTTAAGAATCAACAGGAAATCTGAAACCACAAGTGCAAGACAACTGTATTTGTTTTAAAATAAAGCCTCAACTGCACTTTTAAAAAAAACATATTTATTTATTTCTATTTTAAAGGCAGATTTACAGAGAGAAGGAGATAGAGAAACAAGGTCTTCCATCTGCTGGTTCATCCTGCAATGGCTGGAGCTGAGAAGACCCAAATCCGGGAGCCAGGAACCACTTCCAAGTTTCCCAGGTAGGGGCAGGAGCCAGAAACTTGAGCCATCCTCTGCTGCTTTCCCAAGCCACAAGCAGGGAGCTGCATGGGATGTGCAACAGCTCGGATACAAATGGGTACCCACATGGGATGCTGGTGCAACCAGCTGCCAGATTAGTCTGTTGAGCCGATGCTCTGACTCAAAAGTACACCTTTTAAAATCAATATTAACTCTATAAAATCAAATCAATCTGTTATCAGAGGACAAACCCACACTTTCCTTAGAGAGGTATTTGAAACTTCTTTTTAAAAACCTATTTATTGAATTGACCATTAGTTCACACCTCAAATGCCTGGGGTGGATTGAAGCGCTGAACTCGTCTCAGTCTCCCAGGTGCAGGGCAGGGCGCTAGTCACCTGACCCGCCACCTGCTGCCCGCTATGGCATTTCCTGGCAGAAAGCTGGAATCCGCAGAGGCAGGACTTGCACACAGCACTCCAATGGATATGCAGCCACTCCACATGGCATCTTAACAACTGTGCCAAAAGCACCATTCTAACTGGAAGCTTCCGTGTAGCATTTCAGAGAGGTTTTCCAGTTTCATCTCCTGCACTACCTCAAAATGTGTTGAACCAGGCAGGAAAGTCAAATATGGATTGATTACAAGAAAAAAAAGTACCTGTTCACACTTAGAACAGAGGGTACTTTCAGTGGACCATCTCTGCTACTGAAAATCTCATTGGTCCAGTGGAGCTCTAGCAACACACCAAGAAGAAAGGACGTTCCCAGGAAAATCATTGACTATTGAAGCCCCTCAAAGCAGCCTGGCAAGTGCCACAGACTGACTTGGTGAGCAATGGTGCCAGGAAGTGCCAGGCCCCAGAGGGTGGACATTTGTCTTCCCGTCTCAGTGTCACTAGAAGTGCCCCCTATACAGCTGACCCTGGAATGTTACACACTTGGGACCAACTCCTGTTACTGCCGGTGGAACCTATTGGCCCTAGGCAGAGAGATGGACTGAGCTTAACAACCTCGGCCAACCTCAGTGGGAGCCATGGGGTGAGAACAGACCTTCAGATCTGCTCCAAGCCAGATAAAGATGGCAAGACATTGTTCATGAGCTCAGCAGTCTTTGAATGTGAGAAGCCCTGGAAGCAAGTCGGGCCCTTTAAGCCAGGGCGTTAGCAGATCCCTAAAGGGAGACTAAGCAGTTAAATCTACCCAACACTATTAACGTCTTGTGTTTCCTTTATAATAAAACTACAAGGTATAAACTACCAACCATGATGGATAAAATATATTGCATTTACACTGTGCAGAATCACCCTATCTGATCTTTACAACATTCTTTTTGACCTGCAGTGAAATAGAGACACATAGATGATTGCCCCACACAGAAGGCTGGTTGAGATGGAAACAGGGCTTTAACTTATTGATTAAATATCTCAGGGCCATGAGATTCTCAGGACTTTTTAACATGATGGGAATTTTTAGGGTATAGCTTTGTGACATACACCAATATCCTTGCTGTGGTGCTCTCCAGGAAACTGGCACGTTCAGTTCTGTGACTCAGATCCCTTTGCTATACACGGGGCTGAAGGTGGACACTTAGGGTGGGGCAGGTGCCAATCTAGTGTTGCTGCCAGAGTTCGCTCTGAAACAAAATCTGCTGGGAAAGTGGGGAGCTAGGAAAAGTTTCTACCTTTTAATGATGCAACATGAATTATGTAGCTGCCTAGAACAGAATCAGGATTAAATGAATACAAATTACCAGGAGGCAGAATTAACATAAGAACTAGAGTGCGGTATGCTTAGAAAAATACTGATTGCACCATCATTGAAAATGTTCAGAAAGATAAACTGGAGAATGACAAAGAGCTCACAGTGGTTGTGAAAATGTTTCCTGGTTTAATAATGTGAGAATCAGACAAGCACAGTCTAGAGAGCCTTGCAAAGACAGGTGTGTATATGCAGTCATGATGTTAGGGGACTATATGTTGACTGAAAACTTGTGCACATGGATTGAGGATAATGAAAATTAGGACAAGCTCTGATAGGCTGTGCAAAAAGCAGGTGGCCTGTGAATGCACGCATATGTGTGTGTAAGTTTACCATCATATCCATGTACTGAAGTAACTCCCAGCACCACTTTCCAATCTGGGAAAACCAGGGCCATGAAAGGGATGTCACGTGACTAACTCTTGAGACAAGAACAAGCTCCCAGGACTGCCTGAGAGTGTAGCTTGGGCCCAGTCTGCAGCACTTTACAGAAAGCACTGTTTCCTCTCTTTCCATTCATGTCACAGAATATTTGCCGAGTAAATCATTTATGTACATGCGGAAGTAAGCCAGCAACCAGAATTTTAAATTTCTAGGTTGCAAAAACAACTGTATATGTCTGGAGTCCTTTTGAACTCCAAAAAATGTTTTTAATCTCTTTCAAAGAGGGATCTTTTGAAAGCTCATGGAACTCTGTATTATGAAAAAACTATAGAGAGATTTAAAATTTGTGCATGGATATTAATTTATATTTAAATATTTACTTCTTTGATTTCAAGAGGAGAGAGAGTTCTTCCATTTGTTGCTTCACTCTCCAAGTGACCGCAGCAGCCTGAAATGAGCCAGAGCCAGGCTGAATCCAGAGCCCCCTCCTAGGTGGCAGGGAACCAATTATTAGGGCCAAAATCTACTGCCTCCCAGGGTGCATATCAACAGAAGGGCAAAGGGAACCACAGTAAGTTGGTCCTTGGAAATAGAATGCAGCAGAGTGCAGAGTTAACCAGTGTACCAAATACTTACCCTGAAAATGTATCTTTAAGTTTCAATTTTGCATGAGCTTTTGGAAGACCCCCTCAAAGAGAGAGAAAGAGAGAGACAGAGAGAGACAGAGAGAGAGAGAGAAAGAGAGAGAGAAGGAAAGAAGGAAGGAATGAGCGAACAAACGAACGAATAGTACATTCTGATTTTCTAATCACACTGGTTTTCCTTCCTGGTTAGCATCTTGAAGATGGCAAGTGCTACAGGACAGTTTTCCTGAGATGTGAAGTCAGATGTGATATGAAAGACACTGAGCTCTAACTTTGTAGCGCGTGCACAATCTATTCCTGGCTATGTGAACCAGAAGACCTAAA